GGGTAGGTGTAGAATGGGCATTAATTCTTGACGTGAAATTCACAACCGCGGACTTTGCATTGCAATATCTCCACTCATGGGGCACGTAGGAGAAAAATAAAAACACTTTTATTATGCAAATCGTATTCAAGCTATCAATTATAATATATAACGAGATTTTTCTGTTGTTTTCCGGATTGGCTACAGTTTCGGTCGGTAATCCATCCCTCATAGTAAAAGGTTGGGACAGCCTTAATAATTCACCCTGTATACAGGGTAACTCGTAAAGGCTGTTCCAACCTTTTATCATAAGAGGTGAATTACCGATTGCAACATTATTTCTCGAGAAATGTAGTTAAATATTACATGATTGAGACACGTGGAACGAGATTTAATCCACTTTTTTCGAGTTGGCTACCGTTGCAGTCGGTAATTCGCCTCTTACGGTAAAAGGTTGGAACAGCCTTTACGACTCACCCGGTAGAATTTGTACCTTCTAATAATTTAAAAATAACACTTTTTGTTAATATTTATGCTTTTGTAAAAATCGATTTATGATCCTAATCTTAATAGTAGTCGCAATAATATTCGATTGCACGATGATACGAATAACTCGTGGAAGTTCTTGAGCTCCTCCTGATTGATTATTCAAATCAAAATTATCGTATGCAGGGATGTAATGCCGTAAGAGTTATCGGCGCGTAGAGGTGAACAATGCAACATAGTTTTATGCGGACCGCCTGACGGTTTACAAGTGCGCTCGATGACAGTATACTTTTCTTGTACGGTGCATTCAACGCTTGGAACGCAACATCTCTTTAATTAACGAGCATCAGATATTTAACGTTTGTCGAGACTATTCGCGAGAAATGAGATTTTTCTCCGAAAACATGCGCCTATCAAAGAGACGCGTGTTAAAACGACACTCGTCTAAACAGGGTGCTGCTGAAAGCTGCGCCGAACGCATAAAACCGTATCTACTACTGTTCAAAGTATGCGGATTGTTTGCCAATGATGTCACGGGAGGTACAGTGAAACATTGCCCCTGGCCCACTTACGGTATATGCGTTTTTTGGATAAGCATCTTCATTTTGTTCTCTTATTATATGGTCGACATTTTTCTTATTGATATTGAAGAAGATTTTGATCTCGTAACAATAGTACGATTCTCGAAACATATTACCGGATATATAAGCATGAGTACTGTGACTATTACTGCTTATTCTTCGCAAAATGACTTCATTAAGGTGAGCAAGATGAGACAAAGCTACGAATGAATTTTCGCCGCGAAACGCAGATGATTTTTCTTTTTCACTTTTCTTTCGTCGTTCCCCATACAGCACAGATGGTTGCAATTACATTACAGAAACGTTGCAATCTTGCAGAGACATTGCAGGGATATAAAATTGCAAACTTTCAATAACAATATTGCAGCGATGTTTCAAAAATAATAAAAATACTATATTTTCTATTTAAAAAATTTTTCTAATTACGAGAATTTTATAATGTTATTTTCGTTGATACCAATAATACGCGAATTATTAAGTACTTGATCAGTGCGGTGTTGCTCGCAATCTCCATCTATTGCGAAGCGACATAATCTTCTTAAGTTGCTTCGCAATAGCTTGCTGTGTATTGAAAAAGGCCCGGATGCATACGTAATTAGTAAATTCTCTGCTTATGTACAACAACAACAAATTATTCCAAAAATATTGCACCGCAATCTCTCTGAGGGCAGACATTTCAACATTGCAGCAATGTTGCGCAACGTTGCTGCAATATTGCAATCTTGCAATGTAACATTTCTGCAATCTTCCTGCAATCTTTCTGTGCTGTGTGGGTCCTAATGTCTACTTTCTCCACAGATTTTCGACCGATTGGACGCTTACGACTATAAAGCGGCACGAATAAAGAACAAAAGAACGGATAGCGCATGGATAATTTGGATCGTTACACTTTTGATAACCTTCGTTATTCTGTTACTTATATACGCGACATATATAGAGATAGTAAAATTTCCGAGCGACTACGTCTTCTTCCTATCAAATACTTACGCAATAATCTTACATATGTATTTTTTTCTGGAACAGTTTATCTTGTTGTACAAGGTGTTGGAACGCTTCAAACATCTGAACAAGAATATCGCGGCGAATGTGTCGTGGGACGAAAAGCGACGTGAATCAAACACAATAGATATATCGGATGTAAAAATTATGCATTTGATGCTTTATGACGCTCACGTAGCTTTCAATAATATTTACAGAAATTCTCAATTATCTTGCATAGCATATCTCATGATGTGCATTGTTGCGAACATTAGTTTCTTTCGGGAGGAAAGCCTATTGATAGCCAGCACTAATGTCGGTCCTCCGTTGATGCTCTTGCTACTTATATGCATAATTTGTCATCAAACAGCCGAAGAGGTGCAAAGTTTTCAATTTATTTAAGACATTTGTTTTTAAAGAATCTTGCCTTATTTACTTACATTTAATGAGAGAATCATTATTAAATTGGTATATTTCAGGCAAACAACATCGCGTGTGTCTTGAACAAAGGTATGACCGTGTTTGTTAATCCGGGAAAAACAATGGTAATTATCTAAGAAGCGCAATTATTTAAGAGTAAAGATCTGTTCGTGTGACTTTAACTTATTTTTACATTTTAGGCTAAAATTAGTACGTTGACGTATTTCTTACATTATCGCGTGTCTTTCGATGCGGCAGGATTTTTCATAATTGATTTGCCCTTTTTTCAATCCGTAAGTAACGTTTCACTGTGAATTAATTAAATTAATTTAAATTGAATTTAAGATAAGCGTTGACTCTAATTAATTAATTTTTATAAGAAGTTAAAATTTCTATTATCCATGAAAGTAATAATTTTATAAAATACATACTTGTTGCTTTTATTGAATTTTTTCAAACTTTTCAGATTGTTGCGGCAATAACTACTTATTTCATAATACTGGTGTGATCTTTTGGCCAAAATATTTATTGCATATATATCTGCATATTCCAGTAAAACAAATGTAAATTTAATAACAAAAGTCATTGTAAAGCGCCACATACGACAACTATGCAAAAGTGTATACCAGGTTTAACGATCGTCTAAATTTATTAACCGACAAGATGATGGTATCTTGTGACACAGATTCCAAACAAGCTTAATGCACGTTGCTGTAACAAAATTATGATTTTTTATCGACTTTATAAACGTTGACGTGAGCGTTGCGTGATTCGATGTGAAACAAAAACCATAACACGCAACTTACATCTTTAGATAAATGCCGTTGTTACATTTCATTAATTGACATACCGCAAATATATACGGGGTGTCCCAGTAAATTCTGGCAATCTCTCATGGACATGTAGAGTATGTAAGAAGTGACCCTAAAAATTCCTATAAAATTTTCTTCTTATAATACAATTTGCTTCCTTACCGAGATATTAGTCTTTGAAATGCAAATTTCTGACGCTTTGTTCTTAAATAACTTTTATATCACTCTTCCGAGGTAAATAAGTTGTAATAATTATTTTTGTATTTAGTGAAGATCTTTAAAATAATGCAACTGATTTCTTGATACCACGTCGGTACTCTACATCTTTTTCGAAAATAAAAGGTATTCTTATTTCATTTCGTAAAATCTAACGGGTTTTTTATTCACTTTTATATTTAAACTTATTTTAATAATAACAAATTAATTATATTAAAATTGATAATAATTATTTATCTATTACATAATTTGTAATAGCTATTATTGAACTATTATGCGACTTGTAATAATTACTAAAACTTATAATACTTAATGCTTTCAACTATATCTATAAGAGTTTTAGTAATTATTATACGCCACATAATAATAGTAGTGATGACGATTATCTGTTTATCCGGGTATCCGGATATCCGAGATAGAGATAGATCCGAGATAAAATATTCGATTTAAGTGAAAATCCGGATATCCGGATCTTGTTCGGATCCGGATCTTGTTCGAAATTAAATGCAGTGCTTAAAAATAAACGTGTTTTGGAGTTTTGAATTAATAAGTTATTTATTCAAAAGTTATTTATCCAAAACACGTTTATTTTTAAGCACTGCGTTTAACTTCGAAC